TTATTATCAGGACACTTTTCAATAGTGATATATTCATTTTGTGGGTTGTTGCTTTAGTTGATGTGATCTGCAAATAAAAAAAAATTATCAAAATATTATCATATACTCGTACTCGTATATTGTTTATAATATTCTCGAAAAATTCCTTATTACTCCATGTTGTACATTGTTTGAAACAAGGAGTTGTGTTTTTGGTCTGTCCGGCATCATTTTTTGAACATGTCTGGACTGATTTCATTCAAAGTTGGTACCACAAGTCACAATCAAATTTATATGTTTGACCTTTCACCAGCTGGTAATAAGTTTTGTCCTGAAAAATACCAAAAACGAACAGTTGGACATATCATAGGGCATGCCAGGGCAAATTTATGTGTTCATTTTGTGACGATATTTTCAACTCTCTATTTTTTTACTGAACATTTTTGTCTTTTTTGCCTAAAATTGCTATTTTTGACTTTTTTTTTGAAAACTACCGACTCAATTGCTTTGATACTTGATATGTTGATACCATGGATGGAGCTTGTTAGATTTGTAACTACCGGTTACAATTGCCATGGCAACAACCACATAAACTAGTCGTTACTATCTCATCATATAACACTTAATCAAGTTTGTTTAAAGAAAAACAGCAGAGCTATTTCAACCAGGATGTTGCTTGTAGTAAGCTAATATAAACTTTATGGTACCAAATTTATAAATGTACCTAACCATCTGGAAAATGAAGTTTTGATCAACTGACAATTCATATCCCGTCTTTAGCTATTACGATAGATATACATGTACATGTAAATAAAAGATATTTCATGAGTAACCCTAAAATTTCAGATTTATTAAAGAAATTTGGTTAAATCTTCACATCCAAATATTTTTAACAGAACAATATAATCTTCCAATGACATATTGAAAATGTTGTGATTCTTGCTTTCTCATTCACTACACTCATTTACAGATCTGACACTAACTCATAGGGCTGCTATTTCCTAAGGGGACAAGTTAAATGCAGACATTTTACTCAATATTTTACTTGAATTCTTAGAGGCAAATATGAGCATGTTTTTATAATAATTTTTTTATGAGACTGTCATAATGTTAATGGTGATTCGAATTCTGTGGTTTATAAATGTAGCTAAAATGCTATGAACAAAATGTCAATTTTAGCAATACATATTTTTCACTGATATTTAATTTCAATTTTTTGATGCTTTGAGCAATTTCACTGAGTTTGAGAACTTGGCAGGAAAATGACGAGTTCTATTGTTATATAACATGGTCACAAGAATTTAATTTAGCAATTTTACTTACCGAGGAAAATAGTGAAATTAAAAACAAGCGAAAATTAATACATTTACAGTAATGTATGGACTAATGAAAGAGTTATTATATCCAGTAGTCAAAGGAAACTGACTCCATGAAAAAAACTGAAAGTAAAATCAAAACAAATCTCAAATGTTTTTTAAACCAGTAAGTCAATGTTGAACATCAAATATTTAATTTTATTCATTTGTGAACCATATTATCAAAATATTTTTATCCGGCCATGATACCTTTTTTGTAAAACTTTATTTATCTATTTTTCTTCAGTATATTGTAGATGGATATACAGTTTCCAGACAGTTTGTGAAAACAATCTAAGTGTTATGTACAGGAAGTTAGGCAATAGTATCCTCATTCATTCTGGAGAGTGTCAAATGAATCCTTGACCTTTTGACACTGCTCTGTATGTTCAGTAGATTGCAACCTCTACTCCAGCCAATGCACGTAATCCAATGCACAACAATAAAATCCATTCTGTGAAACTTGATCACTATAAATCACTGGCTTAACTTTAACAAACATCTTGTTAGTATATTCGTCTTTTTTTAGAGGCCAGTTATGGGGTGAGAAATGGAAATGCCTTCACTACCTACTTATCAGCCGTTGTTCTGCCACTGCTCATCCAGCTGGCTCAATCTATGTTTTGAAATCACTTTGGATTGTTGTCTTAACACCAACCCACAAAATGTTCATATTATAATATAAATGACTTGCAAATGACTGGAAAAGTTAGTTAAAATGAAGAGTAGCATAATAACTTACCATCAGACTGATTCTTTCAGACTGGCATTGGGGCTAGGCATGTCTATGCACTGTGTGAGTCACACAGGATGTTAATGTCTTCAGTGAAATGTTACTCTGCTTATTTGCATATTTCTAGTATATAGAGGTGCTTGGTGATTAATAAAGTTGATGTTTTAATAATTAATTAGTTTTTGTAACTGGTTGTCGAATATCACAATTTAACTAACAATAAGGAGAAAAATAAATACTTTGTTAAATTTGAAAGTTTTTTGTTTGTGTGCTTTCATATCATCTAGTAGTAAAATGAAAATGATTGTCTTTTAGTGGCAGATCTAAATGGTTCCATGAATGACTCTATTGATGATGTTAGTCATCCTGGGATGTTCATAACATAGCTAAATTGCCAATTGAAACAACCATGAAAATATAAATACAGAAATCACACTATTACAGCGGATTCTGGATTTGATTAGATGCTTCCATTACTGAGCGATGTTGATATGTTACTATAATTCATTAGGTCTCAATCAAAAGCCGCAGAAAAACATATCATACTAGAAATAATAAATGACTATTTTCTTTCTTGGCTAAAATAAGTTATTAGTAAACAGAAACTAAAAAGCAGTATTACACGCAGTGCTATGGTGACATGTTCTGTCTCCTACTTGTAATGGTTTTGGTCTTGCTCAGGCAGTTTTAGAATACATACGTCTAGCATGTACAAAACATGTCTATGCAATGTAGGACTCTTTCAATCCACTCTTCATAATAAATAGGCAGGGTATGATTTTTCTCCAGCCGACCAATAGATGTTCGCCATATGTGACCAGCAATTGTTCATCCAATTCTTGTACTTGTACCAATGTTTACGTGTTCCATGCTCTTTTTCACATTACAGTGCACTTTTGCCAATAAAACTATTTAAAAATATAATTCACTAATCTGGCTCAATATCGAATGAAACTCTAATAATTCCGACTGTATGGTCACTCATGATGCATAGCTGTCACTAGCTGCTGTTCTGTGCATATTTAAACTTAGTTTGATGACAGGCGACTAATCTTACCAGGGATTGAAAAAAACACAGAATATACCATCGTAGTACTGCAGTTAATGCGTTAACAAACAACTTTTCGGGTAGCTCTGATTTT